TAAATCAAATATTTGGACATATGGCATTGTTAACGTGACACTTGCCAGCATGCTATCAATTCCATGCTATCTTGGGGATATCATCGCGTGCCCGAGCCTCGTCATTCCCCACTCTGCCGCATGCTTCCAAGAGTTTTTCTTCCGCCACTGGTGACACTGGTGGTCTCAATCTTCGCCAATAGCTGGGGGCATGTCGGCGATGGTATGGGGTGACTTTTCTAGCATGTCAAGAAATTTTCACTAATCACCTTGAAAAATTCTTTCTGCAGACAGAATATATTCTCCCTCTCAATGAAATCATCTTTCGACACGTACGACTTTGGGATAAATTTAAAAGTAATCGACGCCGCCACAGGGTCTGGACTATCCATTGTTTCAGCAAAATTTCTTGTCAACTCTATATTGAGAATATCCCTGTATCCTTTTCTACCTTATGCATAACCTATTCTACAATATCCTGTACCATCCCAAAAATGTGGAATACTACATAATAATTTATTAGGCACCAAATCCGTAATGTATTTTTTGGCTCCTGGGAGGGTTGTAATACGAACCGTGGTAAGATTGCACCGAGCGCCCAATAACATAGAGTCCCTTCTTTGATGTGAAAAAAGCAACTACCCCAAACCAGACGAATCAGTATTTCAAATTATGAACTTGACCTCTCAGAATTACATATGAATAAAAATTTGTAGCCAGCTTACAATACTCTTACAATAATTCACAGCAATTTTAAGCACGTAAATTTCCCACCAGTTTAATTTGGTTGAAGTAAACAAGACAATCCATGACGATTTTACCATGGAAATTTTACAAGGAAATTTTCCTCAAATGACCTGTACGAGAAGATTAAGCACCAGTAACTATTCATTTTTGTGCTTAGCTGGAAATGGATGATTTTTCAAAGATTTAACAGTGAGATTGATATAATAACAAAAAGTCAACCAGACATGAAATGATGGAATTCAAATTTCTTGTTTCCGTGCCTTCTTGCTGGGTATTTAATCCCTGGAATGCGAAAATACAATTCAATTTTTTAAGTACTGCGTAAGGAATGTTCAAACACTATTAGCAAAAATCTCTTTACCAGTGTTTTTCAATTTGTTGGCTGCCGTAATATTCAATTCGAAGTAATTAATTGAACCAAATTTTATGGGGAAGTTGATATAGAAAAAATGTTGCGAATCTACGTTTATATTACCATTTATTTTGAGATCGGTTCATTCTGTGCAGCTCAAGACCTTGTTTTGATTTCGCCTTAGCAATAGCATTCGGTACCGATGACGTACATCGCACAGTCCTTATCGCACGACACCTTCGATAATCCACGATAATTCGGACACCTTCGAGCGTAATTGCCATTGTCGTGAAAGTCTTACGTTACAGTTCTCATGGTGTGAATCTTACTACACGCTGTGAGTACACCTATCTGATTTTTTACGAGTGTTCTGATATTATTAATCCTTTTCAACGTACACTGAACCCCACCAAAGAAAGAAAAATTTACATTTTTTAACAATGTAAAATATAAGATAAATGGGTGGTGCCAGATGGTATGACCCTAGTGGGTCTTTTACCAACCCTTTCCCAGTACCTACGTGGTACCCCAACCTAATTCCCTACCCGCGCTTTCATCTAGCTACCTTATAACTAAGTTCCATAGGCACTGGGTTCGTTTTCCGACGATGAAAAATTTTTCATCATCGGGACTCGAACCTGAGCTACCGGGAGGCTTTGGTCATAGGGCGAGCACGCTGACGACTAGCCCAAAGACGTCAACAATGTAAAATATATTTAAAAAATATTCATATCTTTCTTTCAAAAATTCAAACTTTTGCGCGTTGACTGACATAACGATACCTCCACTCTGACCCAGACATTGGGTTTCGACACTCCGACTGCCTGCACAACACAGTACGATCCTTTTCACTGTGGTCATTAGCCTACTTGGGGTTGGGAGCTCAGTGAGCTCCGAGAGCTGTCTTTGCCCAGACCTGGTCCAGTGCTATCACGAATGAACAGAATTTGATGGTGCTCACTTTCCAGCCAAATTTATTTGTCTTCCGAGCGGTTGATTCGTTTCGTTCACGAACAGTGAGCTCCCAATATGTTGCTCGAGAATCACTGGCGCTGTAGATTTCCGTCTCCTTCTAATAGCAGTTCGCTTTTGCGAAACTATCACGCCCCAGGGTGAGGTCCACAATTGAACACGTCTTACCTATCGAAGCCGTTGATTCATCACCACTGTTCAGTGTGGCAACGTCCTATGTGGACATGCTTGTCTCCTTGTCTTCAGCTCGATGCTGCTCCACTCGACTACCCGAGCATTGAGGTTTTCGACAATCGATACAGCGATGTACTGCTTCGCATGCCGACTTAGCTTATCTGAAAAATCTACGAAGTCCTCAAGGATAAAACTTGGTGGAGCGTAGCAGCTGGAAAAAGAAATTTCTTGCAGCTTAGCTACCACAAAGCCAGCCTGTTTGGTATTGACAATGTTTTGAAAAGGATGCCTCAGGACCAAATGACGGCCTTTTAGACGATATCTGCTTCTCAAGATTCATTGTCGAGATGTCTGTATCACGTCAAAATCCACTTTCAGCTATAGCACTTCTCGCTGCAGAGGACGTAATGGTGCCTCCTTACAGGTGGCAGCCTTATACCTACCTTCCCATCCGTCCTTTTGCTCTTATACTTCGTGTCAAGATGTCCATATTACCAGCACTAGCCTTTCTATTTTCCTTACTCGACGAGTGACCTAGCCAACTCGGATTTTGCCGTTGATTTCTTCAGCTTCTGACTTCCGTAGCTCGGCCAATCTCGTCTCGTCTGCCTAGCTTGGAAGACCTCGGAAGGCCGTCATGGATGATGGATCATCAGTATCCATAGTTATCAAAAGTATTTTTCCAACCGCCAGTATAAACATCAAAATTTCTCCTACTCCGGCATGCCATTTCGAGGTTCTCAACAAATTTATCTCCCATTAAATAAAAGTAACCTTTGTCATCTTTGCCAACGTTTCAATTAGCATACCTGTTCAGCATCAGGGAAATTGATTCATTATTATCTACTAATAATTTAAAAAATGCATTAATCCCTAGAGTAACAAATCTGTTTACTGCCCATGATTGTAGCCAGTTAAATCGTAGGTACTCATCTACCAAAATCAAACAGGAGTATGTTTTGTTTGTGGTGACGAATTCTTGCTAACCCCACGTTACCCCTTCAAGTAACTGTTATCGTAATCAAATTGCCAAACTCCAAAGAGCGTCAGTTATTGCGGCTCTCTCAACCGGTGATAACTAGGAAAAAGTCATGCAGTTAGATTAGCAAGAGGGATTTGCAGACGCACTCAGTATCTACAGAAAACGATTGACAATAATAAAAAAATTATAACGTTCCACGGGGCTATCAGTCTAGAAAAGAGCTGTAACTGGTATATTAACGTTAACGAATTCCTGACCGAATGAAAAGATAGGACCAGAAGTTGCAATTTCGAGAGAATTGAAAAGAGATGAAATCATCACATGCAGACTTGCTAGTATCGCTATTCAATCCATAATTGTCTGGTATTTGAGAGAGTCTCTGGAGGACGAAGTATCAAATGTCTTTGAGTAATATTTCGTCCACGAATACCTTCGTCGTCCCTGGCAAACTCATCCGGCCAGGTAATGAATTACTCTTCCTGAGGGAAGAGTAATAAAAACAGTGGAGGATGCTGTGAGATGTTGATTCAGGTTTGGTGGCGTGAATGGACAGATAGTGCGGGCAGGGACTGGAAGGGGGTATTTTTAGCGTGCCATTGCAGAGGGTATCGGCATCGGTATTGGCAAGTCTCAACTGGTTTAGGGAACGTTTAAAGGAGATGTCGAGTCTGCGGTGAAAGTCGTGGGGTTGAGGAGGCAGGAGGAGAACGGACGAGAGGCATTGCAGAGGAAGTAGAGTGAGTGTAGCCCGAGTAACCGACAGGATGAAAAAGAGTCCCGTAGTTACGGAACACCAAGTCCGCGCGCTCGTTCCAGCTACCACATTTCAATTTCTCCATGACTTCTCCAAACGCGATGTTAACAGAATGTTTGAATTATTGAAACTCGAGGCAGAGTCGGCTCCTAGTCATGATATTGTTGATGAGAAATAAAACGATTTTCTTTTCCAGAAATTATTCTTTAGTTATTTATTTATTCAGTTGAATTATTTCTTTTTTCCAAATGAATTTCTTGACGCTGCCGATACGTAAGCTATATTCAACGATTCGATCGAGTACAATCAAGCAGTAGGCTGTGGTGTTGGGGGGGATGATCTCTGATGACTCAAACTCCAGACGAATGTCCACAGGTACGGATTCCAAGAACTCGTTCTGCTACGCGTCCACATAATCGCGTTTTCCAATCCCTGCGTCTGAAAAAAATGTGTAAAAGCAACGCCGTGAAGAACAGATCATCCCTCCCCATGTGCAAGATTGACATCCGGAGGTGGCGGTGGGGGTGGTAGGCATCTGGGGAGAGTGATATGTCTGTGCTTAGGCCTGAAAATGGATATTTCTAAAGTACATCGAATGATCTGCTCGTAAAGCCTGATCAAAAATCAATCTGTACCAAATCAACGATATTTTTGGATATTGTATTAATTTAGTTTTTGAATCTTGATAAGAAGCAAGTCATATCTTCGACTTCGTTAGAAATCCGCAGATTAATCATAATTTTTTGTATTTTTTCCACATCAATTCAATCAGTACAATTAATAGCGAACAGTTATTGAATAACAATTTTATAATTTTTATAATTTATAATTTTCTGAACAAACTCATTGTTTTTCAAGTATAAGTACTGGTTTCACTAGTCAGTAATAGTCAATAATCATTGCTCAATATTCGATGAATACCTTCTGCAGAAACAGAGTTAAAAAAATGTCATACGTCTACCAATGGAAGGAAATTTTTTGATTTATATACTTAGTTGACAATTCTGTTAATAGTTGCTCAATCTTTTACATGTACTCAGGGAGTTATTAAAGAAGAGGACATGATTCCCAGAAGAGTGTGTCTAGTCTGTGGAGATGTAGCCAGTGGTTTTCATTATGGAGTTGCATCTTGTGAAGCATGCAAAGCATTTTTTAAAAGGACGATACAAGGTAAGAGACGATGAGTAATTCTTGAAAATATATTAGATTGTTATTATATATTGCCAGATAGCATCAATCACATTGGGTTATAATAATTAAACACTGAAAAACTGGCAGCAGACGAGTCGAAACGATAATTTCAATATCAGAAATATTGTAAAATTTCTAATTGCTTCGATAATTAGCAATTAGCAAAATAAACAAATGAAATTTCTCTACTTGGTGCTATCTGCATGATGAACAAGAATGTCATGATCAAGTAGCGAGTAACTTCACAGGAAATATTGAGTACACCTGCCCTGCAAATGGAGAGTGCGAGATAAACAAAAGGAGAAGGAAAGCTTGCCAGGCTTGTAGATTCCAAAAATGCTTGAGACAAGGAATGTTAAAAGAAGGAGTTCGACTGGACCGAGTCAGAGGGGGAAGACAGAAATACAGAAGAGCTACTGATCCTTATCTTCCTGTAAAAACGGTGACATTAGATGGTATTATCCATTGATGATTAACTTATTTACTATTGGTTCCCAATTGATGAGTTTTAGTGAAGTGGTAAAAGATGCATGGCAATGACCTTTCATTCATCTAGATATCCAACAGTATCATAGTCCAATATCAATAGACCTGCTTGAATATGTGTTTTATGGTTTTCCATTTTACTACTTCTTCACTAATTATATCAAGCGTGAATAGTCTTGTATAATTATAAACTTCATGTCACAAACTGATGAGCCATCCACTTTGCATGTTTATCCTAGAGAATATTATGAAATAAGCCCTGGTTTACGTAGTCTGACTGCTTTTTTCATTGACTAGATTGTTTTATTCAATGTTTGAAGCCAACTCAGGATTGTCGGGAGTTGGGGAAATTACAAGTAAGCTGATTTTTTTGTCAGTTTAGCTAAGTCAACTTATTTGATGCTTAAGTAATAAAAAGTATATGTATAGAACACGAATAACCACTATTTTTTCCATATTGCTTCTCGTAATTCCTAGTTCTGGAACTACATACTCCCCAAACTCGAGTACTTGGAAATCACTACAGAAAAATATTGTTCGGGTTATTGCCATAATTTTTTTCCCTCATGCTCAATTGGTGTCGACGCCGAAGTTAAGGACTGGTCAACCACGTTTGTAAAAAAAACTCTGTCTCAACAGTCTGGAATTATACTATTTTCTGTTCCTTCATCACTTGTCATATTTATTTTCAGGTTTCTTACAAATTGTTGACCACTCCCGCCTAAAAAAATGTCTCCTATTGAGCTTTCTTCTTTTTTCATAACTCCGATAGTCACGCGACTATTTTTATATATTACTAAATCATTTTCTCGAAAGTTGTATGAATTCCCAAAAAAAAAATTCGAAAAATTATCTAAAAATGATTGCAAAATCAAAAGACTTGATGAATAAGTGAATAATGATAAAACTGAATAGCTGCATATTTTTACACGCCACTATGAGCAAAGCTTGTTAAAAATCTGCGAAAAACTTGAAAAGTTGTCGGAATATATCTCCAATCAAATATTGAAGATGACTTCCTTTTGTATACATTTATAAAACTTGTAACCTAAAAAAAACTGTTTCCGTTTTTATCTTCCTGTTCTATAGGAAGTTATTGTAATGACCCCGAAAATCAATATGGAAATTTTCAACATATCTTCACGTTTCAAGGCCTCCAGAGTAATCCTGGACCATTTTCGAGAGGATGTCTGTGTGTGCGTGTGCGCGCGCGCGCGCGTGTGTGTGTGTGTGCGTGTGCGTGTGCGTGTGCGTGCGTGTGCGTGCGTGCGTGTGTGTGTGTGTGTGCTTCCAGAAAAACTGCGAAAACGGAAATTTCATCAACGATTTCTTGTCTGAAATTTATCGTCAACGATTTCTCAAAAATGGATGATGCGATCGAAGTGAAACAGATACCATCGAAGCGTTTCCATGCCATTTGGTGCTGATTAGATAATAGATGGAATTGCTCCAGCCGTTTTCCACTTTTTCCAGAAACAAATTTGAGAGAAAAAATTTCTTCAGCGATTTCTCGTGCATGAAAGATGCGATCGACATTTAATATAGTGTAATCGAAGCGTCATGACGACATTCAGCACTGATCAAATTATGGATAGAATCGCTCTAGTGTTGTTCTCCAGTTTTTCCAGAAAATCAGGGAAATATAATTTTGCTAACATTTTCTCGCGAAGGGATGATGCGATCGAGATCCAATGGAACGCAATCGAACTCTCCTAATGCGATTGCGCGCTAATTATGTTGTACACGGAATAGCTCCAGCCATTCTGCACTTTGTCCAGAAAAACTGCGAAAAAGGAAATTTCATCAACGATTTCTTGTGGATGAATGATGCGATAGAGGTCTAATATAATGCAATCGAAGAATCTTGATGTCATTCACTACTGATTACATTATAAATTGAATCCCTCCAGTCGTTTTCCACTTTAAAAGAAAAGAATGGGAAACGAAATTTCTCAAACATTTTTTTGTGAACAGATGATGCGATCGAGGTGTAACAAAAGGCAATCGAAGCGTTTCGATGCAATTCGGCGCTGATTATGTTATGCACTGACTAGCTACAGTCGTTCACCAGTTTGTCGGGAAATTTTGTAGCAAAAAATTAATCAGCGATTTCTCGTGAACGACTTATGCGATCGAGGTCTAATATGATACAATCGAAGCGTCTCCACATCATTCAGCACTGATTGAATCATAGATTGAATCGCTCCAGTCGTTCTCCAGGTTTTCCAAAAACAAAATGGGAAACAAAATTTCGCAAACATTTTTTGGTGAACGGATGATGCAATCGAGGTGTAACAAAAGACAATTGAAGCGTTTCGATGTGTTTCGGTGCTGATTCTGTTGTACACGAAATAGCTCCATTCATTCTCCAAAAAAGTGTTATGGATTCTGGGGGGTATAAAAATTATTATAAGACAGGAGAATCATTATAGAACAGGAAGTTATTGGTTCGACCAGTTGAACGGGTCACACCCGCATGAATGCATTCGCCAGCAAGCCACCCACAACTACGCACCCCACTTCGAGAGCGAGCGAAGCGAGTGACCAACAACGCGACTACTCGTTTTTTTAATTTTAGGAAAAATGTAACTGTAAGATATTAAGATGGTTGCAAAGGGTCGAAACGGGTTACAATGGATGTTAATTTACAAACATATATCAGCGATGTGTATTCAAAATTTCAGATCAATCGATTAAAAATTATGGCATCTGGACGTATTGGTAGATTCATACCCATTTTAATCTATTTAGATCCACGGCAATCATCCTTATATGTTGAAGTTCGATTTTGTTTTACTTTTTTTGACCTACAACTCATACAACAAATATTCATGATCGTCGCTATAATACCCGAAGATTTTCAAATTTCACGATCGTCATCTCTGAGAGGGATACCACTATAAGTAATCACCATCACGGATAATTAAATTATAGATCTGCTTCATCTCTCCTGTATTCTATAGTAATAAAAATTATTAGATGGTTAAAAAAAATGATCATTCACTATTGCTTGCACTATAAAGAGCAAAATGATTATATCAAAGAACTACTGTAATTTAGTCGATTATGAATGTAAATTAGTTACAATATTCGTTAATAGATGGGAAAATTATTGTAGATAATTAATGAATTTTCGAAATACGAAACGTGGGTAGCTGTAAGCACGGAAAGAAGTAGAAATAGGTTCTGTGTGACACTTTTCAAATTCGTGGGAGGAGGGGGTAATCACTACTAAATTACCATTTAGGAATCCGATTATTCAAGACCAAGTCTACTTTCTAGATCTGCTACACAGTGAAAACTGATTAACTGCTTAGGTTTGGATGCTTGCAAGGGTTCTTGGAAGGGAGAGTTAGCGAGCCCCCTCTAAGACTTCGAGAGACGAAGAGCGCTAAAAACGGAAGAAGATCTATTTAGGTGCGCTGGGGGGGGTTATTAGCTGGTGAATATTACTGCACAGATCTGTCGCGTATATGAAAGAGAACGGGGGATATTAGACCGTGAATGCTAAGGGGAGCTAATGTCAGAGTAAGGGGATGATTTTCCATCCGCGGTAAGACGTTTTCGCATATTTATCCTACGCACAGAAAACACGAACCGCAGAATATGTGATTTAAAATTTACATTTAAAAATTAGAATTTGACCAACGGTAGTGGCCGTGCGGTTAGAGTGCTGGACTAGCATGCCAGGGATTCGGGTTCGATCCCGGGCACCGGCGGTCAAAAATATATAGCGCTCTGATCTCACGGTTTCACTGCCGAGCGGTAGTCCTGTCAAAAGGACGACTGTACCAGGACAGGTTTTTCCCTCAGATTAGGTTTTCCCTCCCTTTCAGCAAATGCGGTGTAGTGGGTTGGGGGGTGGGAAGGGAACAAATCGTAGAAACCCGAAATGGTATACGAGTGAAAGAAAATTTTAATTTTAAAAATTAGAATTTAAAAATGTATGATTTAAAAACTTTCGATTACGATTTCGATCTCGTAAATTAGGATTCAAGCATACAAAATCAAACAACGCTTATTTGACAGGTGTAATGGTCAATCTTTATACTCCAATCCTTATACCTTAACCCTTCTAGAGAATAAAAACTACTCTCTAAAAGTGTCTCTAAATTTCAATACACTAAACATTAATTAAAAGAACTCTAATAACAAGGTTTAGTATATGTCAGAAACTAGTGTGGACCGATGTGATCTCATTCGAGTTGAGAGTGGGACCGCGCGATGGATTGGCCATTTTGGGAACGTTAGGCCCAAGTCCTCTTTGTTTATGACTCAGGCTGGAGCCTGCCTTGCCAGTGTTTTCCCTCCCAAGTGTTTTCCGGACGGAAACCCCGAGGTGTCGAGTGGAGTAAAACAAGGCACTCTTTATCCGCAGCTATTTATTTACCAGTCCTAATCCAACGCGTTTCCCTCACATCCTTACACCCCAATCTTAACTCTTATTATATCCCAAGCTTTTTCAGTAAAATATAATAACATAATACTAATAATAATAATTATTATTTTTTTTGCTTACCTTTGATTGTGATACCTTTATAATCTTCCCAGGATCCCTGCTCAGGGTTTATTTTTAATCCTGTCAGATGTTTTCGGGTCTTGAGATTTAAAAAGGGCTTAGAATTTTCAGCGTACGTTTCGGCGCATGCAGTCAGGCAACTCGCTTTTCTCGCTCTTTCTTTCTCACTCGATCTGTCTCACGAACAAATTCCGGGAAATTTTCGATTTTTCCGGCGAATCAAATCTAAAACAGCGCATTCCTCGGATTATCGCGGATCGATAATCCTCCTAGTGATATTGCAGCGCTATTAGCTAGTAAATAATTCATTTTTTTTATTATAATGTGATTGATTCAAATTGTGAGCTTGGCCGGGAATTTAAAATATATTAATTCTCGGAGAAGGCACGATATATCCGGGAAAATCAAATTAGGGGCAAAAATCCAGTAATCTGAATAATTTAAGGGTGA